GTACAATGTTTCCAAACTGTGAGGTTTCCAAATACAAGATACGATGTATTTTGATCAAATTCACACCCTCTCTTACTTCCTTTACCCTGACATTTAAGAATTTTAACAGATTTCATTATTCTATGTTCATACATTCATATGAAGTACTTCACTCCACATTTATGCTTTGTTACCCATTTCTCTGGCTCTCTCCTCACCTACTGAATTCCACCTTTAAGTAGTCCACCCATTTTCACCTGTCAATTTGTTAATGCTATGTATTTCTTAAGAGAGAAAATATCTATATTTGGTTTTTGTAGACTGTCTTATTTCACTTTACATGATGATTTCCAGTTATTATTTATGCAAAGTATTGTTTTATTTATTTAAACTTTATCAGCCTTCCTAAATTCCTTGAAGACAGCATCGTATCTTGCCTACTGCTATATACCTTGTGTTTTTTTATAGGAATTGAAATCAAATTACATTTACCTAAATACCTAAGAATTCCGTTTTACGTGCTAAGGTTTCAAGGCTCTAGGGGTTGGAGCCAGAACCTCACTCATACCACTAGGACACATCCCTAACCCCTTTAGGAATTAATTTTAGCTTACTATATACAAAGCAAAACTAATACTCTATGCAAGCAAAATGATGCATAAAAATCATATGCATGTGAATGTTCATGCATGTATTCTTCTGAACGTAGTTTCACTGCCTTTACACAAGCCTACAAATGATAAGCATTTTGGAAAATACATGCTGAACATTTTATGTTTCAGCAAATTTTTTTCAATAGAGGACAAATCTAAAATACTCCATTTATCATTCTAACAGAAATCTACAAAGGCGAGTTAAAAAAGAACACACACTTTTACAAACAGTTTCCATTCGTCTTGAAAAGACTTCTAAAATCACATATTCCTGCCCTGGGATTTAGTGGTCCTACACTAAGCTTTGAATAAAAAACACATTCAGCTTATCTGTCAGAAATACTTGAAACAAAAGCAGTCACCTTCCAGAAAGGCTAGAAGGTATATCTTACATAATGACAAATGGCAGGTATAGTTTATGAAAATTCAACACTGTCAACATGTGATTGTTACTTTTCACCAATTCCCAAAGCATATGATTTTATTTTTTTAACATGAGATAGGGAAAATCGTTTTCTAAAATACTAATTATACAACAACTTCTTCTCCCAGCTGGGAAGTGAGGTTCAGTAAGTCAACAGGATTCTTTCAAAACATATAGAATTCTCCCTAGCTGGTAAAGATCATATTGCCCTGTAAGATTTCCTTTGTCATCAAAAAGCAAACTATATTTCAAAAAGATTAAGTTCATTGTTCAGAAACACAGTACTAAAATTATAATCAAGATGAATTGTAATATTTATAGTTGAAAATGTTTTTTTAAAAATGAAAATATACTCTTAAGGGAGAAACACCAAGCATAACGCTATGTGCCTTCGATAATATAAAGTAATATTTATTGAAATGAATTCTAGGAAATGGAAACAAGTGGTTTTGGCTTTGTTATTTTTGGTAGGGTTTTTTTTGTCTTGTTGTTTATCTGTGTTTCAGAGTATGTGGGGGGTGTAAAAAATGGAGGGACAAAGGGTGAACAAATGCAACAGTGGTACTTACTAGAACCATGTTGAAAATGAACTATACAACTTCTGGGTAAATATAAAAGGGAAAATTTGGAGGTAGCAAGGGAAGGGGTGACACTGTTCAAAAGAAATATACACATGGGAATGTGGCTTAGTGGTAGAGTGCTTGCTTAGCATGTATGAAGCCCTGGGTTTGATTCCTCAGTACCACATAAACAGAAAAAGCTTGAAGTGGCCCAGAAGTGCCAGAAAAATAAAAAAAAAGAAATATACACATTACTTGATAACCCCTCTGTACATCACCTTTATAATAACAATATTTTTTTAAAGAATGAAAATATATCTAGAATTTGCTCATGTTTCAAAATAATATAGCTGTCTATGTTTTTTTATTAAGAAAAGCTGGAGGCAGTGCTTGGTATAAAATGTTCTATAATCCTGGCTAACATTAGCAATTTAAATTTGCCAAAGGTGGTTATACTGCAATATCAAATGCACAAATCATAAATACGTGAGTATGTACATACTTATTTTTAAATGTATCAAAAGGCTATAGCTTAATAGTAATGAATATATGCTATATTTGCTATTATTAAAATATCCAATCTGTGGTAATAATTTATTTGTTTTACAAATGTGTTGGGGGGCTAAAAAATTTCAATTCATCTGTGACAGACCATGAAATTCAATATTGCTAACCATGACCAATCCATGAAATTTGTCTACTTTGTTCCTGATTTTCACAGGGCCTTCCTCTTAGATGAAATGACCCATTGAATGGAGAGCATAGCAATTTTTTCATCTATGGTAAATCAGTTTCATTTACTAGGATTTATTATGGGCTTCAGATTTAAGCTTTTTATGATCATGAACCATTATGTACATAATCTCAACCTTATGGTGATTCATCTCTGCTCCTTCCCTTTTATGAAAGAATTCTCCATCTCTAAAGTCAGTTCTCAAGGGTTGCCATCTGTTAATGATAGGATTGTTAAAAGTCAAGAAATAAGTGAATGTTTTAAGTTGTTAATTACTTTTAGAATACCTAACATGAAAGTTCAAAAATTTATTGAAAAATAAAAATAAATTACCAAAACACTATAGCATAACTTCAGAACAATAAATAGAAGAAATGTACTCATTACCTTATTTATGTAACTGAAATCCCTCTGTACATCACCTTGACAATAAAAAAGAAATAGATATAATAGACAAATTATTTGAATTTTATCTTGTGTGCTGTTCAATACCTATGTAGTCATTCAATATTAAAAAAACAATTTTAGAGGAAGAAAGAAATGAAATTATATTTAATGTTTGAATTATACTAATCCAGCTTCCATAATATTACAAGTTTTAATCAAATTAACTAGAAATAAATAGTTGAAAAACTGTAGATTTCTCCAAAGCTTATTTACCTAAAATATTCTAATAACTTTTCCAATATAATTACAAATTTCTGTTCCTCATTATTTGAGACACTAAAGGCTACTGTCAAAAGTGCAAGTCTAAAGAATATTTACTGAAAGGTGTAGCCATTCAGTCTCTTTCAGAGCTAGGTATATTCTAGAACATTTTTTTCTGTTTTTTTATTAATTTACTTTATTCTCATTATAGACGTGATGTAGAGAGGGACTACAATTACATGAATCAGGTAATGAGTATGTATTCTTTTGTATAGTGTTTTCTGTTCCCACCCTCTCTCCCAGTCCCTCCCTCCTGTCTCTACCCACAGGTTGTATAGTTCACTTTCATCTGTGTCCAGTGAGCTCTACTGCTGTACTTTGTCACCCTTTTTCCCTCAAGTTCTGTACCCTTCCCCCAATTCACCATACATATGGTAAAGAAGACAGAACCATCAAAAACTAAAAATTAGAAAGAAAGAAAGAGAGAAAGAGAGAGAGAGAGAAAGCAAGCAAGCAAGCAAGAAAGAACAAACAAAAGAGGTCTCTTGTTTCCATATTTTGGAGGTCATTTCAGTATGTATATTATTTTATATAAATATGAAGAACTCAGGCATTGTGTCTTTTTGATGTGAGTTTCTTGAATCTAGTATAATTTATCATATCCCATTGAATTTTAGCTCTAATTTTCACATATCAGAGAGGCCATGCGTTTGTCTTTCTGAGGTTGACTTACCTCACTTAACATGATTTGTTCTAGTTCCACCCATTTCCCTGCAAATGACATTATTTTATTCTTTCTAATGGCTATCTAGGTACCACATTTCGTGGATCCATTCATCTATTGTGGGGTATCTGGGCTGTTTCCATATCTTGGCTATTGTAAATAATACAGCAACATGGATGTACAGGTGTCCTTATCATACCCTGGCTCATGATATTCAGGGTAGATGCTCAGGAGTGGTATGGCTGAGTCATAGGGAAGGTTTATGTTTAGTTTTTTTGAGGAACTTCAAGACTGCATTCTTGAGTGGTTGTACTAATTTACATTCACACCAACAGTGCAATAGGTAAAACAATTTAAAATAAAAAAATTCTTTTGGCAAGACTAGGGTTTAACTCAGGACCTTATGCTTGCTAGACAGGCACTCTACCACTTGAGCCATAACTGCTATTTTTGAGATATGGCCTTACATCCTTCCTGCACCTATGTCTGTACCTTGATCCACAAGCTTTAGGCTTCCTGTCATAGTTGGGATGACATGGGGGCACCACATGCTCAACTTCTTTCCATTAGAATGAGTCTTGTGAACTTTTCTGCCTGGGGTAGCTTAAAACCATGATTCTCCCAATATCAGACTCCTCCTATACAGCTGAGAGGACAGGCATATACCACCATGCCCAGCTATTGGTCACATGTTATGCCTGGGCTAGCCAAAAGCCACAGTGTTCCCAATCTCAGCCTCCTAAATTGCTAAGAATACTGATCTAAATCACCAGCACGTCAGTTAAAATATTTTTTTAATTAGCGCAAATTACATTATATAAAATTGAAGACAGTAAAATACACTTTTGTAAATTGCAAAAAGCAACTAGATGTGATTTTCTTTTTTATGGCATAAAAAGCAATGACTAATATTACTAATCCATTAAAATAACTTGATCATTTAACCTAAAAAGACGTAAAATGTTTCCAACTGCATTTGATGCTTATCAACTGAATGGATCATTTAACCTAAAAAGTAAGACTTAAAATGTTCCCAACTGCATTTGATGCTTATCAGCTGAATGGATTGACCTAGAGTAAAGTAATATTTGAGGAAGTTCAACTTCTTTGAGAATTAAGAAACTCCAATTGATTGGTAGTAGTTTTATAATGCCACAATATTTAAAAGTCACTTTTAAAATTCCACTTGGTACTCACCACAATTCAACAGTAGTATGAAAATAACTGCTAATTTTTTACATATTACCAAAGTTAAAAATAAAGTGTATTGGATACTTACTTATATAATTCTGTCAATGGTGAAGTCAAAATGGCTAATGTTGTAAATAGATTATTACAGTGGGAATGAATTTTTAAAATTTTATCATTTTTATGTGCATGAGGATTCAGAAGTTCCTGTACAGATGAACAAATTGACCATAACATATTCTCTGTACATGTGAAAATTGTTATGACATCAAGTCTATTGGAAAGAAAAAGAAAAATTCATATGAAACAAGTAATATGCCTAGCATGAACACTTTCATCCATACTTCTTGTACTAAGGATATGTAAGAACAGAAATTTTTGATTAGGTATCATATCTATAGAGCCCAGAAACAAAAAGTATGAGATATCTTTTGAGATTCCAGGTAAAAGCTAATCTACAATTCCTTTATCTTGTATAAAATCTGCTACATTATTTATTTTAGTCAGAACCATTTCTTTGTTTCCATCTTTTTTGAGTTTTTATTTTATAATTTAATATTTATATTTTAAAATAATGTCTCTTAATTTTTTGCATTTATGGGGTATACTGCTACATCTGAACTTATGAATGCAATATATAATAATCAAGTCAGGAAAACTGGCATATTGGTGGTAATCTTAAGACACATGTCACTTCTTTGCATTGAGAATGTTCAAAATCTACTCATTACCCTGAATGTTTAATTAATTTTATTAATCATCATTACCTTAATATGCTACAGAGAAATAAAATTTATACTTCTGATCCAACTGTACCCCAAAATCCATAAATTATCTGTTCATCAATTTCTTTCCTTTTCTTGCATATTAATAGAAACTTGAAGATATTTTAAAGCTTTTTGTTATATGACTAAGTTGAACAGACTATTAATTCTCTCTCTTAAATTAAGACTTAAAGAAATTGAAAGTAGAGAGGTTAAACTTTATTTATATAATTTTTATTGTAAAGGTGATGTATACAGGGATTATAGTTACATAAGTCAAGCAATGAGTACATTTCTTTTTGAACAGCGTCACCTCCTCCCTCATTTTCTCCCAGTTTTTTTCCCTCCAGCCCCCCCCCTAAAGTTTAAAGTAATGAAAAATGCTTGGACATCTGGGTGCTCGTGGTTCACACCTGTAATCCTAGCTAGTCAGAAGTTTGATATCTGAGAATCACAGTTTGAAGCCAGCCCAGGCAGAAAAAATCCCTGTGAGACTCTTATCTTCAATTAACTACTCAAAAACTGAAGGGGAGCTTGAGCAAAAAAAAGCTCAGGGACAGAACCCAGGCCCTTAGTGCAAGTCTTCACAACTTAATTAAAAAAGTGTGCCAGGCACCTGTGGTTCATGCTTGTAATCCTAGCTACTCAGGAGGTTGAGATCTGAGGATCACAGTTCAAAGCCAGCCAGGGCAGGAAAGTCCGTGAGTCTCTTATCTCCAATAAACCACTAGAAAACTAGAAGTGGCATTGTGGTTCAAGTGGTAGAGTGCTTGCCTTGAGCTGACAAACTGAGGAACAGCACCCAGGCCCAGAGTTTAAACCCCACGACCCACCAAAGAAAACCCCAAAAAACAGTTTGGACATCTTTTAAAATGCCACTTAGGACTCTAATTTATTATATAAAATAAATTTTATGTATAATAATATAAACATATGTGTAAACCATATATATGGTTGTTGCTACAGATGATCAGAATACTAAAATATCAATAATCATCTTAGGAAGGTTTATAATTTTCACTCACTTCTTTTCTGTTTAAGAAAGAATTATTAATCTAAAATCCATATAATCTGATTTTGACTATAACAATAGTAGTTTAACCATTCAAACCTGTATCTATCTATACAATACACATATATAAAACTATATATATATATATATATATATATATATATATATATATATACTTATAACAGCTAGAAACAATAGTTCTAAGTTTCCATGACATTTTGTGTGCAACTATCCAGAAAATAAACCTAAGTCTCCATAGTGCAGTTTATTAATTAAATATATTACCTAATTCATGAGCTATAGTAAATCTGATTTCACAAATATGTCATAATGACTTGCTACTTCATTGTCAAAAGTGATCCATGCTATATAGGAAAAAGAGTGATGATTCTCCATCTATTCTTCAGAGTTCAGGTTTTTTTGGAACAGCTTGGTCAGTAATTCAAAACAGGCTATGCTAAAATACCATATTTATGAAACACTGTGGCAGGACCTAAATGCCCTTCAAATTGCAGCATACTTTACAGGACATGAGCAGGAAATAATTTCTCCAGCCAAAAGGAGGAGAATAATGTCTCTGATGTCTGTAAGGTCTTCCTGACATGTATTAAGAAACCTGTTATATACCTAAAAGGCAGGTTTAATCTTATTAGACAGAGTATTTATAAAACAAAAGCCTTTTCATATTGATTATTTTGTCTTGTAAGCTAATTTGTGTATTATTCAGTGCCTAAAAAACTCATATAATTGTACTATAATTTTGCCTTTGATTTAAAACCTAGTGACAGTTGCTCCTCATTTCTATAATGTCACATTTTCTTAAACTGGATTTTGATAATATATAGTAAAAAGAAAAAGAAAAGCTAGAACAGGAAATTAAAATATATTTTGAACAAAAATGAGTAAACAAACCGGTTTCCTAATAAAGATAAGCTACACATTTTTAGGCTTTAAAACAAAACAAAACAAAACAAAAAACCTTGGTTGCCTAGAAGTTCAAAGTCAAATTAACTGCTCTATCACAGCATGGTTGCTTTTTTCTCTATTCAGGATCTTAAGTTTCTCTCTTTATCTTATTAACCTTTGTGTATATGTCCTAGATTACAAGACATATTGAATAATTTTCTAGAAACAAGTGGGTTCTATATACAATTATAAGGAGAAAAAAGAGCAAAGTTATTTTAATTTGAGTTGCACATTTCCATTTAAATACCCATGGAGAGTTGAATACAATTTCCTTTCAGATGTTAGAAACATGTTAAATATACAAGGAGTTTTATCATGAGATTCAGAATTACACTCTGCTTTATATCATGTGATGCAAACGCTTTCTTGAATATCAATCGTATTCAGAACTTTAATTACCGTATCTGTGGAGTCCTCTTATAACTGGGATTGGCCCGAGCATATCTGGAGGCCAACAGACCCAAAGATTCCTCCAGCACTTCTGTGAGAATCTCCTGGGCTAACTTAGGGGGAAGTATGGTCCAGAGATCATGCTGAAGAGCCCAGTAGAAATAATGCCACATCTGGAGTGAGAAGGAGCATCTTTCCCCCTGGCAAAACCAATACACATTAAACAATAGAATCCCATCTTCCAAACCTAATTAGTTCAGGCTGAAAGGAAATAGATGGAAAGTCTGACATACTAGATGACCAAGAAAGATTTTTGACAAGATGTTGAACATTCTTATTGACATAGGAACATATGTTTTATTTCTGTTATGAGATCAGAATTTTTAGCTCAAAACCAGACCACAAGCATTCAACCTAGCATCTTTGATTTACCTATTCCTGGTCTATGTCTAAAATTTACTTTTAAACAATCCTCTTTCTTAGTTGCTAAACAAGTCATGCTAGCAACTTTAAAATATGACTGATTCTTTTAAAATTGAAAGTTATTTAAAATGCCTACATTTAAATAGGTATATTTTTCTAGACTATTAGCATCATTGAATTAGCTTTATAAATAAATCTTTCAGATTCATATTTTAATGAAGTGAAGGAGTGAAATAAACTTACTGTCATCTTATCAAGCATTCATGGAGTAATGTTGTGGAGGCCAAGGGGTATGGAACTGTTGAAGATTATTACATTGCACTAGTCATTGATAGTATTTTAGTAACAGTACGGTACTAGCATCAGATACCACAGCAGTCTACTTTTATGATTTTGTAAAGCCTGGGGCCAGATTCTCATTCTTTGCCACTCTTATATAGATCTCTATGTGCACTAAACTTTCTTTGACCGCAGAGGGTAACATAACAGTAATTCAGGCCAAGTAGTACAAGCAGAAAAGATAGGGTAGCCTCAGGTGATTTGTAAGCATTAATGCGCTAAAGAAAGTTTTCTAGTTATTTGACCTCATTTTCCTCAAGCCAGAGTTAAAAATTATTAAAAATATGAAGAGTAGAATGTACTCTTCAAACAGAATCATTTGTGATATCAGAACATTAAAATTTAAACTAGTACGATTTCCTATTTTCATCTCTAAGTAATCCTCTTTGTTAAAATTTTTTATCCACTATTAGATCTCCAAATAAATGTTATCTTAAAAATAGCTACTGTTCTGTTAAACCAAAAGTTGACAGCTTCTCATGTATTTCTTCACATATTATTTACCTGACAGTTTCTTTGATTTCTAAATAGGTATGCTCTATTGTCTTTCAAGTGACATTCATAAATTAGCAAAATTATTATTCCTTGGATAAAAAGCAAGGACATCAAAATGTAAACCAGATTAGTACTAGTAACTTTTTCCTGTTATCCTAGTTACTCAGGAGGCTGAGAGCCAGCCCTTGCAAGAAAGTCTGTGAGACTCTCTATTCCAATTAAGGACCCAAAAAGCAGCAAGTGGAGCTGTGGTTCAAGTGGTAAAGTGAAGGACAAGCGCCCAGCCATTGAGTTCAAACTCCAGGACAGACAGACAGATAGACAGACAGACAGACAGACAGACAGACAGACAGACAGACAGACAGACAGACAGACAGACAGACAGACACACACACACACACACACACACACACAGGGGACTTTGCCTAGTGATATCTGACTTCCTACCTAAACTGTTAACAAATGTGTATGTATATATTTATTTAATGATGATGCAACATAATTACAGTTTCTTACATTTTTTGTGACTATTCCTTTTCAAACCAAGAAAGGAAATTTAAAGCATGATTCTTTCAAATTTTATGTGTTGTATGTAAGTCAAATCTGAGCCTAACCAATGCAGTGCCAACCAATACATTAAGTGTAAATTACTTAACCTTTTCTATAGCAATGGCTGAGTGCTTATAATAATGTGATCAATAGGATTTCTATGATTTTCAAATACAAAAATCAAGTTTCCTTAATATACCTTCTAGTAATAAATAAGAAAACAAAAATAACTTTATCCACATACTCATGTAAGGACTTTTTTAACCTCATGCTTCCTTAAAAATATTCTGAACAGGGTTTTGTTCTAACTATTCTCTTTAAAATGAATACACTATCAGTATGTGTGTGGGTTTTCATGAAACCAAATTTGATTCATTTATTTTTTTTCCTGAACTGTTTCCCTACTTGTTGTCATTTCAAAAGTATTATGCTAGTAAACATCTGTTATTCTTGCAGACCAACTATAATATAAACAGATGTGAGCTTTTATTTAGATTATATATCTAGAAACAAGCAGCTGGTCTTTATTATAGAAGCCAATCAATATTATTTTTGAACAGACAATTCTTTATTCTTCAACTATTGAAAAACACAAGTTCCTGAAATTGAGCAGATGTCAACCATACTAAACATTTAATTTTAAACATGTTATCTGAACAGCCACTGTGCCATCTGACCAGTACCACATCAGATGCTCAACTCTTTGACTGGTGCAAAGTGACAGTTTACGAAATGGGAATAATGCATGTAGGACTAACTTGCTTTTATGAAACATAAGTAAACTTCTTTTATTCTATCTGTACTATGCTCTCTACATGATGATAGGTTCCTCTGAGATCACTATCCTACCATTTGTCTCAGTCAGGACTGTCATCTCCTTTCCCCTCAAAACAGGCTTGCCAAAAACATACTGACCTTGTTTCACAAGTCATTTGAAATAATTGGAAGAGGAGGAGAAAGGGGTACAATGAACAAGATCCATGTCAGGTACACTACTTGTCAAAATAGTTTAAAATCTTTGCTATTTTTAGAAGGATTTTAGCTTTTGTAAATAGAAAATCAATATCATTTTATTTTCCTGAGCATAAATAACACCCACTAACTCTGCAATTAAATCGTAACTACTGACCATGTAAGTATATGGAAGCTACAGTACCATGTAATCACAGGGTAACTATCTCGTTATTCCTGTCTTTGAAGCCATAGCTTTGTCCTAAGCTGTGTGTTACATGGTAATTTGTTTTTTTTTTAATACTTGGTAACTTCAATAACAGCTTCTCAGTGCATCTACTTATTATTTATACTGTACAATTACACTACTTCCCAATTTGTATAAGAGAAAACAAAATGTCCCTGTGTTGAACATATACTGAGATGATACCTGTCCTTCACTAAAAATATCACATGAAATTGTTCATTATTACCCTGACATTTTGGAATAGTTTGAAACATTAGATGGATTTATTTTCCACCTCTCTGTTTACCTCAAGGCAAATAAGAAGGATACTGCCAGGAGAGGGGAGACCAATACTTTCATTCTTATCTCAAGCTACCAGCTGTACTATACCACTTTCTCATTCTGTTCACTTCAACCACTCCTGTTTGAAGTAAGTATGTCGGATTTGGAAAGCCCTATATAGATGCTCTTGCAAAAAGAAAAACTCTCTGGAAGGGACTCTAAAGGAGAGATGAAATGGCCCTAGGAAAAGTGGAAAGTCTTTTGAAAGATCTTCTTATTAGCTGTTTTTTTGTGTCCTGGCAACATTGACTAAGTTGACATAAACTAAACCACAGGAAGTTTGAGCACAAAGAAATGACAAGAGTGACCATAAAACTACTTCTTGTTTTTCTAAATACTCCATAGTGGTTAGGATAGTCAAAAAAAAAAAAAGTCATTCACTTAATGAAGAAAGGGTGCAACGAAAATGCTAATTAAGCTGAGTGTGGTTTTTCAATTCTTTGCAAATCTTCAAGTATCTTTATGAAGATATATTCATTGTTCATGGAATCCACTTCAAGGAATTTCAAATATTTTAGTCTACATATAATCTATGGGATTTGGGATAAATATGTAAAACCCGATCATGAATAGTTTAACTGATACTCAATTTGATTGCCCTGGCTTTAATGTAGAAAAAAATGCAATTTTAAAATGCAGGGCCAATGAAAATAGGTAAGCTATAAATGATTAATTGGGTCTTACAGTATGTATACTCATAGGGACATGAAGAAGGGGACAAAGAATATAAAGAACAAAGCTGTTTAGTAAAGTATTAAACCAGATGAAAATAAATAATAAGGAAAAGTACAAATATTCTTAACTGGTACCTCTGGAAGAAGAGTTCACAACACTTTGATATTGTGATCTTATTGAGTTCTCATTGTATCTCATTATATTCCAACTTGCATAGCACTGCACCATTGCAGCTCAAATTAAGTTATTTTTACTTTACAGCAGAAGGAGAGTTCTGATGTCTAATTTATTTCATTTAAAAAAAAACAACAGTGTTTTTCCAAAGTACAAATTCAATATTTAAAAAATATTATCCTAACAGCCTTCATGTGTTAGTAATGCCAGGCTCATGTTTCTAATTAGCCAGAAAGCAGGTAGGCAGTAAAACATATTTGTGTAAAAAGGAGGGATAGTAAACTTAACTTCACACCTCATAAAAAGCTTTGTAGTCATCCCAGTGGTGGCTCTCAGCATCCTGTAAAATGCTTGTAGCACAAACTCTGACGCAGTAGTTCGTAACCTGAAACTGTAGCGCGTTGATGAATTCCTGATATCTCTGGACAGGCACCAGGAACATGGGTCTGTTCAGAGGGAATGATCAAAGAGACAGAGATTTAAGGCCTGTGCAGTAGGAGGTAACAATCTCCAGCACTACAAATGGTTTTGATTATTAGATATCAATCATTCATTTCCTCTTAATACTAAAGTCTGCATCCACATTCACTTTCCAAAAAGGTAAAAATAAATAAATAACTAAAGCTGGTTTTTGTTTAGCATGTCCTTTGAAAACATACATCTGCTGTTCTCCAAATATGCATTTCAAACTTGATACAAACTTGGTTGTTAATGCATCATTCAAAACTAAAGTATTCTTTGTAGGTCTATTATTAGAGATCAGAGTGTTATTTAGGCATTAGTTGCTGTTATTAGTAGGAAACAACATATACTTGTCACAAATGACTTTAATAAAGCAATCATACATCCCACAAACACAGCTTCTTTAAAAAAGAAATTGCAATTTTGTAGCTGTCAATTATTCTCTAAACTGTTTTAAAATATTCTACAGAAATAAAGACTTTAGCACATTTTGTTTATAAATTCAAGGATGAATCACAACATCTGACTACTTATGAAAATTAAAGAAATATCATTGCTGTACATCTAGCCAAATTAATTTCATTTTTTATTTCTTTAGCTATTTATATTGCACTGCTTTTTCTCATAACCAAAGGACTCTGAAGGCTGAATTAAGAGTATAGAATAGATTTTCGAAATCACTCTGGGATGCTATAGCCACACATTCCTTTCTGAGGGGCCATGTTAAATTCTGCACAGTATAAATCTAACCCAAAAGACCATGTGTTAAAAGCTGCTGCAATTTTGTCGCTATATAGAAAGAATTCCATATTTTTGGATTGCTAATAACAAGAAATAAGATTGGCAGATGCTTCCTCTTCAAATATTACGGGTATTTTATTACCACATAGATGTCCTGTGATATGTTTATACTAGTCACTAGAGTAGATTAAAATGCATTTATTCATTATAGCAAGTCCAAAAGGCTGTTTGGCTTAGAAACAAAAGACAAGACATGTTTATACATGGGACAAAAAAGTTTATCCTTCCTTTTCAGTGTGGTCAGGATAATATGCCTTATAAAAGAGAAGGGGAAATTTGGTTCTGTCATAACACCATCTTGAGCATACTTACTCCATTGAATATGTCTTTAGAGATTATATTTGCAACTATCTACATAATTTGCTCTAAGGATTGATCTATATATTCCTTTAAATATGACCTACTCTACTCAAGAAAAATGAAAAGAATTTGCCATATTAAATACTATTTTTTTCCTCTCAAATACAATCACCAAAACGTTATTATTGTGATTTTTTAAATATTACATGTTTCTTTAAAGCATGGGCCAAGGTAATTCACATGATACTCACTTATTAGTAGTTTCTTTCATAAAATGATCATACTGCATGAAGTGCTGGAGGACATAGACCGCTGTGGAGAGTAGGATGTGCACATTTTTCAGGGGTGCTTTGGAAGGAACCTCTTTGCTTCTCTCTTGCAGTCTTGCCAGGACAGCTGTTGCCACTTTACAACAGGCCTCCACCAAGTTTGCTCTAATTTCCTGAAAAGAATCATCTCTGCATGCCAGAGCCAGTGGAAGTATTGTGTCAAGTTTTTCCATGATGTTAGAACAAAACTAGGGAGAAATAAATGTGGCGCTGAATTATTTGTACCATGACACAGGGTAATTTATGTACAGTGGACCAAATTCCTAAAAAATGAATTTGGCATTAAACATAAATATAATGATGCAGCTTTATAATAATCAATTTCTCAGTTGTAGAAAGTTAAATGTCTCATGTCAAGTAAGGAAATACCAAAATGATGCCTCTCTATATATAACCCTTCAAATCTTATGCTCACAGGAAAAATACCATTAAAAACTCACAAACCACTTTCCCATGACAATTCCTTTATTTCTAGTTCATAAATATTAAAAATGTATCCTTGAAACTAATTTTGACATTATTTTTAAACTTACTATTTTCTTTTGCTCAATGTCCATAGATTTTTTTAAATTAAATGTCACATATAAATATCAGATTAAATTAAGGAGCAACAGAAACAATCTCATACAGCACCTTCTTATTGGTAAGGAGTTGGCAGTCTTTAGATATGGTCTGTCTCGCTTTTCACTATTTATTATGTATCTACTCCTTCTAATTGCAGAGGGAGATGTGGGATGTGGTGGATGGGAAGGCAAAAATCTACTTCCATATCAAATCAGCCAGCAGAGTTGCCTAAAAAAATATTCTAGAACCTCAGGTGACAAGTTGAATGAGGCTATCTCCCTAACTCTTTAAAGGGATGGTAGGGGAAAAACAGAGGAGGAGGCAACAATGCTGGATAAAAAAAAAAATGTACTCATTGATAAGAAATGTACTCATTATCTTGCCCATGTAATTGTAAGCCCTCTGTACAGTATTTTCACAATAAAAAATTAAATAAAAAATGTACTCATTACCTGGCGCATGTAACTTGTAACTCCTCTGTACAGTATTTTCACAATAAAAAAACTTCATTAAAAAAAAACTTCTCTAACATTGATTCCTCAAATATTGTGGACTTAATGCCAAGTAACTGTCTGTATTAGCTTTCTCTCTCCCTCTCCTCTCTTCTCCTCTCCTCTTCTATTCTCTCTCTGTCTCTGTCTTTCTCTGTCTCTCTCCGTCTCTCTCTCTGTCTTTCTCTCTCTCTCTCTTTCTCCCTGTTTTGTGGTTTTTCAGGATAGAAGCAAAGAGGTCAGATTAATGAAATGTTAATTTAAGTATATAAAAGATTTTTAAATTGCCCACACCAAGACCAGACAGGATCTTTTTTAACCATCTAAATTTCTCTTGAAATCATTCCAAGGTATAGAGCTGAACAGGCAGTTTCCAGTGATTAGCCCTCTATGGTAACACAAAAGCCTTCTGAATTGCCTTAAAGTCATAGGGTAAAGAGCTGTGAAGAGGATACGTTCTTTTTGGTAGTACTGGCCCATGGACACCAGAGAACAAAACTACATCCAAGCATTAGTCAACAGACTTTACCATTAGACCTTTAGGTTGTTCTTGCAATGCCTTATATAAAAAACTAAGGAAAGAAAAGAAATCTCACTGTACTCATCAGCAGTCAGAAAGGGTTTCATTTGATACATGCCTTTGCAATTTTCTTTGGTTGTTCTTCCTCAGGAAACATGTGGTAATCTTGCCAAACTCCCTGAGCACTTACAAGGTTCATAGCATAGCTCATAACTGAAGATCTTTCTTTCTGTTCCTGTTGGAGAATTCTTGTGGAAAAATTTTCAACTGTAGTTGTTATGCAATATGCCATGGGAAGAGATAGTTCCTTAAATGCATTTCTCCAGCCAAAATCTAGTAATGTAGCCTGAAGTGTAAATGTACATAAAGTCATATCAACACTAGCAACAACTGGTTTCTATTGTCTTACACATAAAATTATTATTTTCATTCAATACATTGAATATAAATATTCTGTGATATTCTTTAAAAACCATTTTCCAACCTGAAAAATATTACTAAGTAGATGAAACAATATACAAAAATGTGCATTCTTTACACACAGTAATATACTGACATTTCACGTTAAATCATCAGTGAATTTAATAAAAAAATTTCTTTCAAAATTTGATCTCTTAAATCTAGTTCAATAAGGCCATCTTTATGAGAGCCGAAAGCTGCACTTACAATCTATCACATAAAGTAACCTTTAAATTCAATATATTTAATAAAGTCTAAATTAGATTTTATCATTTTATAGTTTATTGTTAACAAGTATTGCAACATAAGACTGCATTTAATAGTCAATCTTTGATTTCTTTTTCAGTTTCAGAATTCCAGTCAACTTCCCCCAAAAGAGCAATACAAAATAAATTTCTCTAAGAAAGCACAACCATTGCACCTTTCTGGATTTAGACTTGCTTAGAATTTTACTGAATTTCTCCATGCACAAAGTGTCAGGCACTACCATTTTTCTTCTGGGCAATGATGAAAAATTGACCTACATGTACTCTTGGTGTGTTTGGAGCACTAATTTTTTTATTCTGTTTTTCTTTTTGTTTTGTTTTTATTTGGTTGTTTTCTCTTATGGCAATGTATCTTTAAATATATATTTTCCTAAAAACCATTACTGTTCTCTAAAGAACACTATGAATAGGGTTAAAATCTCTGCTAAGGAAGCACTCCTCTTATTTCAGTCTAACTTTCTTTGTTCTTGGTAATTTGCCACTTAATGTGTCACTTCTACTTCAGAAGACTGTGAGCTTGATATGTCTGATTAAATTACATATTTTTATTGGTCTTGAGCCTTTTAATACAAAAATAAGAGCTAAATTTGATGATTATTCAGTCTAAAATTATTTGAGATTATGAACATTAGCCTAGTTTTCTTGTACGCACACTCCATTCAACATTAATGCTTTTTATATATAATAGAAAGTAATAAAAATGATTCCTTTTCTAGATCTAGAGTTCTATGGTTACATAATTCTATAAAAGGGGCTCTTAGCTTCACTATGCTAATATTACTAAACTTTTATATGTAAAGCTTATTTGAATCCTTAACATTCTAGGAACTCAAGCATGTTTCTCTTATATTTTCATAAAATTAACTAGTAGTCAAATCAAGTAAGAGTATAGACTCTCCTTTTTTCTTGAAAATTCTTTTATTTTGTTTTATTTTTAAATACATTTTTATTTTCTTTAGGTAGTTGTACAAAGGTGCACTCTGCTTTCTTACAAGTGAAACTTTTGACATGAAATGTAGTAACTAATCTTCTGAGATTTATGATAAGAATATAAAAAGAAATATATCTCCACAAAATATTTTTTAATCTTGATTTTTTATTCTACCTTTGGATGCCTGTATTTATTAAAATTTTCCATTCATTCAAAAAAAATTTGGTAAATTTTTCTGTTAAGTGATATAGTTGCAGTTAATAAGGCTTTTGTTTGTTTAGTTTTGTTTTTTTTATTGTCAAGGTGATATACAGAGGGGTTACAGTTACATAAGTGAAGTAATAACTACATTTCTTGTTAAACTTGTTTCTCCTTCCCTCATTACTCGCCAACTTTCCCTCCCCCAGCCCCCCATGTACAGATCATTTCCAACATATTGCCTTGTGAATATCATTGTTGCATTGGTTCCCCTCTTGTCCTTTGTCTCACCATTCTGTTACAATGGTGATTACTTTGTCCAATGATAATTTATGGATGAATGTAAAATGTTGGCCCACCTGTACTGTTTCCAACTATGGAAAAAGTTCCTTAATAGTAGCCCTTCAAAAAATCTTTGCTTAAAAGTCTTATAAAAACCTATTTTGAAAGATGTTACTTCTCTTCCCATCTAGTATGTGGCATCACACGTTCTAGTTAGACAACACTTACTAGTTGATCTAAGAACAAAAAGAGGGAATTGTGTGATTTTCTCCTTGGTGCAACAAGCAGGTATCTATTGAATCTGATATTCTATCACCTACCAATAATTTCTGAGTACTCATTTTTACTTCTGGTTACATCAAGATATATAATTTTGAAAATTTTCCTGATTATTTCCCTTGCTTAAAGCCTAAAACTGTTAAAACTTCTTTTGCCTTTTAAAATATTTGCCTAGTATATGTCAAGATCCATTAACCAATAGACATATTCAAGTTATTCCAAATGAAATAATTTAATATACAGTATTGGTTGCCTTGACTTTATATTTAAGAGACTAAACAGAGCTATGAAGCATAACAAATATTAATATGACAGGAAACCATAATCCTCTTTATGGTTGGAAGAACAAAGAAAAGGAAATGTGCCAGTTTAAATGTCACTTTTCAACAACTATCTACAGTTCACATTCTTAAAATGAAGATCCTATGTCAAGATAGAAACAAAATTTTCTTGAGTTCGACATATCTCTCTACTCCTCTCATAAGACTCATTATGCAAGAGAACAGTGTCCTGACTAAATCACTTTGTCCAAAACATGTAGGTCAATTTGTAATCAAGAATTTTACTGAAGAAACAGAGATTGAGAGGATCATGATTCAAGGTCAGCATAGGCAAAAAATTAGAGACCTCCCTCTCCACCAATAAGCCACTTATGGCGACACACACCTATAAACCCAACTATACAAGGGCATAGTTGGTCCAAGGTTGCTGGTCTTAAACAGACCCTATCTGAAAAATAAAGTAAAAAAGGCCTAGAGACAGGGCTCAAAAGGTAAAGCGCAAGCCTAGCTTTGAGTTCAAACCTCAATGTCACACACAAGAAACTTTCTAAAGTGATGAAGGGTAAACTTCAAGACATATAAATTTTTTAAATCCTCACCTCTTTTACTGGTAGCAATTGCTCTGAAAGAATACTGGGTTCATTTGCTCTTGTTCTCTCTATCATAACTTTTCTATTAGATTTTTCAAAAACTCCTAAGTAAGTGAGAAGAAAGCAAACATAAACAAATCTTTACAAAGAAAAATATTAAATGTTAACACATGTTAAAATGTTGTAGGAATGCTTTATGCACAGTGGATACAAATACGCATACATTGCAATATGTAAGGAACACAGGCAAGAAGATGTAGAGTCATGTCCACAATAACATTACAATTTTTATATACAATTTGATGAAATCTATATGCTACTCATATTTATAATGAACAACATGCATTAAAAAACCTGTAAAATATAGATTCTTTGTCATTAGGTCACTTACATGCTGACAACATTGAATGAACTACAAGTAGAAAATAAACATTAATTTCCTTGTCCTTTTAAAAAGTTAAATTGTAGCCTGACATAGTGGTTTATGTCTATAATTTACACACTAGACAGCTTGAGGAAGTGGGATAGCAAGGTTAAGGACAAAGTATGCTACAGAATGACACCTTGATTTAAAAAAAAGGTTTCTACATTGTGGTTATTCATAGCACATTAACACCTCCTTTCATGAAAGAACCATAAACAAAAGAACATCAATAAATATAAGAATTTAAGGAAAAATATAAACTAAATTATATCAATTTTAATTGAAGAAAGAAAACTCTGAAACAAACATGAAATAATCAGTAACTCCAAAAGCAGAAAAATTTGTCCAACTTTTACTTATATTTTTAATAATTAAGGTACTCTTTTCCCTGGAAAAAATTAAATCTAGAAAAACTTAATATTCTAAAAAGAAATCCTTCCACATTTCCATTAAAGTTAATCTCAGGTTGATTCCACGAATAATTTACTATTTACCTTTTTGTTGTTTAGATGAGATGATAAATTATACTCAATGGTCTAAATTTCATTTTATTTTTAAATTTATCAGGAATTTTAATAATCAGATTTTCTGTTTTCCTTAAAGTAAGCAAATTTCAAATTTGGCTGATTTTAGCAGTAGGGATTCTGATCACAGAAACAAAAATACTACATTCTAATTCTCAAGTTAGTTTCAACACTCTTGTGCCTAGAGTATACTAAAGGTAAATATTCTATCTGGCAGACAATAATATCAGTGCTATGGTTTGTATTAGTGTCACTGACAGGCTTATGTGTTACAATCTTGGTTGCCAGCCTGTAGAGCCATGGAGTCGTGGCAGAATCATGATAGATGAGGTCTTTTGGAATCAAGTTAGATCCTTGAGGGAAGGCCCTTGAGTTGTATAAACTTCAGCTCCACCCACCTCTCTTCCTCCTGGATGCCATGAGGTGAGCAGTCTTGTCTACCTTGTGCGACCCATCATGATGTACTTTGCTGCCAGGGGCAAAGGACTACAGACTAAAATGTGAAGCATCATAAGCCCAAAGAAGCTTTTCTTCAATGATGCAGAGCTGACTAACATAACCACCCATAAGGGAAGTTTTATTAGTGTTTCTCATAAGAAAAGTTTCTTCAATTTTTATATTTCATAACTGTTTTATGGATTTTTAACACAATCTAGAATTTGTTTAAAGTGATGAGACATTCCATACAAAATATACAATATGGCTGGCTCATAGACACATGTGCACACAATCACATATATACACACATACACACACATGTGAGAACTCTCAGCTCCCCTTCGACCTTATTCATCATCTACAGGAGCCCGTGGATTTCAATTTAAGAATCCTGTTGTATTTCTCAAGATACTTCACAATATAGAAAAGTTCCTTTTCTATGACTTATAGTTTATAATGTCCTTTTAAGGTGATAGTTATAAATAAGATCAATTCTAACACTGAGCTAAAATCCAAACTGACCAGATATTTTAATGGTAAAAAATAAAACTAGACATCTATTAAAGTAAAATTTGCAATATTTTTAAAAGAAGGTTTCCAGGCACAAAGAGTAGGTCTCATTAAGTAATTCTGCACAACAAAGACACTATCAGCAGTCCAAATAAATTTACTAAACTGAATAATCAAACTCTCTAAAAATCTTCATTTTGATAACAGTGCCCTGTATCTTGTATATACACTTCTCTAATTCGGGGAAGGGAAGGGAAAAAACAAAATGCTTAAATAAGAATACAGGTTGACCCATCGTAACAATGAGATGTACAAACTATACAACTTTGGTGGGGGGGGTAGTTGTGTAGGTGGGAGAGAAGGGATGGTGGGAGAAAACAAAGGAGGAGGCAACAATGCTCAATAGGAAATGTACTCATTAACTTGCTCATGTAACTGTAACCCCTCTGTACAGCATTTTTACAATTAAAAATGTACAAAAAATCTTCATTTTGAAAAATAGACTTTACTTTCTAAAGAAGTTTTAAGTTTACAGAAAGGTTGAGCAGAAAAACATGCTGTTCCCATACACTTCTTCTTGCCCTCAGTGTCCCTGTCATTAGCATCTTACAATGATGGAGTCTGTTCGTCACAATCGATGAACCAAAGTTGAAATGCCATTCTAATGTTACAAACTGATGTCTATGGTTTTCATTCTGGTTCATTTGTTTAAAATTATTAGCACAAACTAATTGTACAAAGGAGCTTTGTTATTATATTTACAACACACATACATAATGTACCTTGATCAAAGTCACCCTATGTTATCCTTTCTTAACCCCTCTGTCTCCTACTCCCTTCTTTTGAACCATTTTTGTGGATTTCATTAGGTTATTTTTTAAATATATTTGATATACTTCTATGATCACCTACTTTTGTGTTATACTTTGCCTCTTAACTTTTTGTGATGTGAAATTCTGTGGGTTTTGTTAAATATGTGGTATCATGTATCCACCACTACTGTATTATATGGAATAATTTCATTGCTCAAAAAAATCCCCTCTATATCACCTATCTATTTCTCATACTCCCTCCCTCTTTTCCTTTTCCTCCCCCCTCATTTCCCATTCCTTCACCTCCACTCTTAGAAAATAAGATCTATTCATGGTCTCTATAGTTTTGCTTTCATACAGTATGTAGTCTTTTTAAGATTGCCGTCTTTCACTTAACAATAAAATTTTTAAGGTTCTTCATGTCTTTTCATGGCTTGATATCTTATTTCTTTATACTAATGAATACTGTTCCATTGCATTGATATACAACAGTTTGTTTAAGCATTCATCTACGGAAAAAAAAACAATTGAGCTGCGATTATGAATGAAGCTAATGTAAATATTTATATGTAGGTTTTAATGTGGACAGATTGTTAACCTCATTTGGATAAATATAAGATTGTAAATTGCTAGATCATATCGTTCAGTTTTATAAGATATTGTCAAACTCTATTCCAAAGAGGCTATGCCATTTTGCATTCTTCACAGCAATGAATGAGAAATCCTTTTGCTAACACGTTAGCCATTTAAGCATTTTAGCCATTCTAACAGGTGGATTTAGTCACTCTGATGGTGGATTTTAGCCACTCTAATAGATGTGTAGTAGTATCTTGTTTAAATCTACATTTTCTTAATGACATATCAATATCTTTTCATATGCTTATTCACCATCTGTATATTGTCTCTGGTGAGTTTTCTATTCAGATATTTTAAAATCACATTGTTCTCGTGTTGAATTTTTAAAAGTCTCTGTATAATTTGGGTACAAATTCTTTATCATATATGTGTTTTGCAGTTCTCTTTTTTAAGTCTGGAGATTTCCATCTTCTTTGTGACCAAACCTTTTTGCTTGATCACTTGAGAAATTTACCTTCCACTTTAAAGACACAGTTTAAAGGATTCTCTCATATTATTACTGTGATAGCAATAAAGAAAAATAAAACCAGCTAAGTGCTGCTGGCTCACATCTGTAATCCTAGATACTCAGGACACTGAGATCTGAGAATCACAGTTTGAAGCCAGGGCAGAAAAATCCCCTGAGACTCTTATCTTTAATTGACCACTCAAAACCTGGAAGTAGTACTGTGACTCAAGTGGTAGAATGATAGTCTTGAGCACAAGGAAGCTCAGGGACAACACCCAAGCCCTGAGTTCAAGCCCCATAACAGACAAAAATAAAAAGGAAAAAAAACCTAAAATTTACATATATGAATAGATTTAATTGACAACTGTATGCACCAATGGAAAATTATTCAACTAGTAGAAGGAATTATGTTCATTTTCTGCATAGTTCATAAAGAATATCTTCATAATATGTTAGTGTAATATAGGAATATATGTGGAGGTAGTTCCTCCTGGAATGTAGAAGAGTGAAGTAGAAAAATAAATCACAATTTTACCATATGTCATTTGTCCCATTCAAAAGCTCTATAATATTCATATTCAAAACAATTTGAAAGAAGAAAAAAATCATAAAGCTCAAGTTGTTAATGACACGTAAAATGACTTGGATTCCTAATATCATTTTACTATTTCTGTAGAAAGCTTATAAAACTAGCTAATTTAGAAGGTATTTACTCTGGAAGAATAACATGAGTTTGAAGTAAAATTGTCCTAGATCATTTTATGGAAATAACTGCCTGCCATTGGGTAGTTTGTATCTTCGGAAAAAAGTTAAATATCTTTTATTTATCATTTCATTCCCAAATACATTATGTTTATTCATTAAATGTAATGTGGTTAGATGTTTATATAAACCATCTGTCTATTTTCAAGATGAGTAAGAAAAATTATAAAATTTTAAACACTTTTTTTTCTTTCTTTTTCCTGGTGCCTACTTCTAGACTGAGAAAATTATCAGGTAATTATGATAACCTTTAAAATATCATTTTCCCCTCCCCTAAATTTAAAAGGTTTTTTTAAAAAAGCTTAATTTATATACCATAGACAAATGGAGTGGAGAAGGCAAGATTTGTAGTAACACTAAGCCTACACCAATAAATATTTTGTGATTTAATTGTGTCCTTTTTATGTTGATTTAGGATTAAAAAATGGCCAACTTCAAATTTTGGCAATGTAAAATGTTATGATTCTATGTTATAAGAAATTATGAGAATTATGAGAATTATATTTAAAACATATTGAAATTTCAATACACTTAATATTGTCAATTTTTGGCTCACCACTGTAAAATATAGTTATCTACATGCGATCAACAATGGTTTCTCTAAGAGCATGCCTAGATTAAGAACCTCAGGAGAGTGCAGAGGGTCACAAGAATGGCAGCTGCTCAACAGCTTCCCCTACAGAGTTCTCTTTGGTTCATTTTACACTTCTGGTTAGTTTCCACACTGCTGCTTTCTTTCATAGGGAGTGGAGGTTGGCAGTACTTCCCTGTGACATCCACTTTCACACCCAAATTGGTCTTCATAGATTCCCATTGTGTGCACTTCAAAGCAACTTGCCTTGTTGGCAGCTCTAAGTGGGAACTACTAGTCTTTCTTTTCTTCACTGTTTTTTTCTGGCTCACACGCAACCTCCCACCAAAAGCTGAATCTGTAGAAGAGACTACATCCAAGAGATAATACCATGAAAAAGTATGAAGAGAAGCCCAGGTGGCCACCTTGCAAATTTCCAATGTGGAAGCCTTCGACCTCTCTGCCCAAGAAACAGCTAAAGTCCTAGAGTAATGAGCTTTACAAACCCTAGGAGCCTCTTTACCTTAACTACATACGCCTCCCTAATACAATCCCTTAACCATCTAGCTAAGGAACTCTTAGAAGCCATTTGACCCCTCTTAAGACCCCCTAAGAGTACAAACAATCTTTTAGAAGATCTGAAATCTTTGATTCTTCTGAGACAAACCCTAAGTGTTCTTCTTACATCCAATTGAAGCAGCCATTGCGCTTTGTCATTGCTGGGGCTAAAGAAAAAGGAGGGCCAAGACATATCCTGGTTTAGATAAATCTCAGATGCCACCTTTGGAAAAATCGAGGAACTGCTCGGAGGACAACTTTATTTTGAAGGAGTATTAGAAATGCACCACAAATCAAACCCAAGGCCAATCCATAAAATATCATCACCTAAAACAAACACAGTAAGACATTATAACATCAAATAACACCCTATCGTTCTCTGAAATAATGAAATTAGAAAACTGTAAGTCACAATCAAACAAGATCAAATAAATGAAAGTATTAAATATCCTTTATTTTCTCAGAAAATACTTTTGGTCTCTACAAAACCTCTTCAAATTCAAATTATTATGAGAACTTCCAATCTGGTTGACAATACAGTAGAAAACATCAAAATAGGAAATAATAAATGTAGATAATCATCTTTATATTTTATCTACCTGATGTTAAACATTTGAATGTTTTAAAATCTTCTGGATATTTAAAAATAAAATCTTTACTTTTGCCATATTGTTTGGGTTTGATGCGCAACTTTTTCCTAGTGAACAAAATGGGCTCCATTCAAAACAAACTAGAAACTAAATGACTTGTTCTTGTTTTCTAATTTTCTCCTACAAAAGATTTTTTAAGTAAAACATTAACAATCAGGAATATTCCATAGTTAGTTTAAGATTAATTTGGTTTCTTCCATTATCCATTTCAATGATAATGAGGGATCCATTTTTCTTCCTTATTTAAGAAACCAATGCCTTTGATATTAAGTAATTAATTTAGGTATGCTGAATAAAATATTTAAGATTTTTCTCGACAATTTCTTTCAAGATCGTTCTTTGCAGAGATCCATTTATATAAATGTATATAAATCCACTTATATAAATTTATGTCAGATTAAATGACTCAGCTTTCTTACACAAATATTCTTTTCAAAAACTATATATATATATTACTAGGGAACATCTAGTACTGAGACATTTCTTATACCTACTACTCAAAACTCCTTTTGTAGATGATCACATTTGTAATCATCAACACATATGTTTGCATCTACACTATTATTAATGTCATAGTGAAGTTGCTTTTATCTGCCACACAGCTGACAAACATGAGGTAAGACACTATTTGTAGCATAATTATATATTTGTTTTGTTGATTTTTTGCAAGAATAGTAACTGTTGCTCTCAACTATACAGCATTTGCAATTCTCCACATTGACTGATCTTAATCTCATGTGATTGAAGAAGCTCTTCCTTTTATCTCTTTTTTCCTTAAATCAACAAATTATATCTTCGCTTCAATTTTTGATCACTTCAGTGTTTAACTTTGTAATTGTTTTCTAGTGAAATTTTCATGTTAAAATTATATTTTAGAATTGATAAAGATTTCCAATGGCCTGGTTCAGTATCAAGATAAGATAATTCCAGATGGGTAGAGTCTTAGATGTCTTACAGCTTATTCTGTTTCTTGATCTTCAGAAAACATCTACTAAAGGCTGGATGAGAGATGTCTATTTTAGCTAGGCAGTATGAATGACCAAACGTCAACTTTTGGAAGCACCAAATGTCATCAATAGGATGCCCTATTGCTCTATACAGAGCTTTATGACCATATATTAGCTCCATCTAGGAAACCTAGTAGGTTTGAAGTCATTTCCTAATTGAATCCATTTTTCATTCTTTCATTTAAATAATTATTATACTTTCTGTACTATCTTATTTTTTCAGGTTTAAAAATCTATAATCTACCTTTTGTATTCTTCAAATTAGCTCCAGGACTGGAAGAAGAATTGTTATGGCTTGGGTATAGTTTAAATAAGCTCCATAAAGTTTCATGTGTTATATGCTCTTTCATAATTGTTATAGTATAAAAGTGGAAATCGTTGGAAGAAATGCTCTCAGGAGAACCCTCATCAGAGCCACCATCATACATTTGGACTTTCACCATCTCAAATTATGGCTAAATAAGCCCTTCCCCTTTACAAAGTACACATGTTCAGGCATTTTGTCACAGCAACAGATAATGCCTAATATTTTGTTCTACAGAATTTATTTTCTAATAATCCCAACCCAAACTTAACCTGAAACATAGAATACTAGTGAACTATGCTTAATATAAAATAAACTCCAACCCTAGAACTGCAATAGCAATATTTTTGTGAGGCAAGGTAAAAATAAAGCAATATAAAAACATATATGTTGAGAAAGCTCCATGTAAGTTTTAGTAAGACATTGGGTTTGGGGATTGAAATTTTCAATTACTTATTAATTTCTTGCCCCTTTTACTTCCTTTTTCAGATGAAGTATTCTTCATTGGAATGACACCTTGTAAAAAAGCACACTGTAATTTTTTTATAAAGATGTACAATAAAAAATCCTTATTAAATATGGTTATCACAACATAATATACAGTAAACATTAAACAGATAGCATTATGCCTTGGAATTCTACCATTTAGGTAGAATTTGCCCACATGGCAAAGCTTTCTTCAATGTTTTGTAAAGTCTAACTAAACTTAGGCTAGCATATTAAAATAGTTACAGTATAATTTTAACAACTCACTTTTACTGTTCATGATATGCAAGACTTCTACTTATATATATTAAATCATTCAATTGTCAAAATTTTACATAATATTGGAATCAGAAGCAATTAATCTTAAACAGCCATACAAAAAGAAAACTAAAGCAATCCTCCATGATTACTTAAAATCTGACATTGAATAAAATTTTTCTGCTCAAGGCAGAAAGGGGGGGCAGGGAGGGATAGTGGGAGAACAACAAAGGAGGGGGTAACAATGCTTGACAAGAAATATACTCATTACCTTACTCATATAACCTTAACCCTTCTGTACAGAATCTTTACAATAAAATAAAAATTAAAAAAAATTCTGCTCAAGATCATCTGTTGAAGGAAGTACCAGTACATCATCCAGTGTGCTTAATCTCTCCATAGATCAGTTTTGTTCTTTTTTAAAAAATTGATCTGAGTGGGGCCCCAGTGGCCCACACCTGTAATCATAGCTACTCAGAAGGCTGAGATCTGAGGATTATGATTCAAAGCCAGCCCAGGCAGGAAAATCGATGAGACTAATATCCAATTAACTACCCAAAAACTGGAAATGGAGCTCAAAGTGGTAGAGCATTAGCTTTGAGCACAAAAATTCATGGACCCAGGCCCCAACTTCAAGCCGTAGGACCAGCAAAAAAGATCTGATTTTATTAAATAGTTGACTTGCTAATTTGATTTAAGGAGTCAGACAAGTGTAAAAGAGAAAAAGTTATACAAAAGACAGACAAAAATGAAAAGTACACTAAAGTTATCTAAAGAATTTTATTTTGTAATTTGTTTTCAAATAATGGCATAGATTCAAAGTAGCATAAAGCAAAACAGATAAATTGTAGATTTATAAATTAGTATATTACCTGAAGACTTCCTTGGCACTATAAGTGATGAAAACATTCCTTGAAACAATTCCTGAACATCATTTTCCAGCTTCAACAAGGATTTTACGAGGTGTGACAAGAACTGGAGTTCATCGAAGGAAAGAGATAAGTCTCTTCCTTTTTCTGGGCCTTCTGGAGTAACTGTGAAGAGATCAGTAATACTTTTCATTTTAGTGTTTTTCCAATAAGTATTAGGATGATCTATATGACTGCAAAAAAATCATCAAACTAACACCAGTGGGCACCAGTGGCTCATGTCTGCAATCCTAACTACTCAGGAGGCTGAGCGCTCTAATCTTAGCTACTCAAGAGGTTGATATCTAAGGATGACAGGTTGAAGCCTGGCAGGAAGGTGTGTAAGACTCTTCTCCCCACTAAGCACGCAAACGCTTTTGAGTTCAAGCTCTAAAACTGGCATACACACAAAAAAATTACAGCAAGTTGATTCATTAACAAGCACATAGGAAAATATTTCCTTCTGAGAAACTGGAGATAAAATTTATGTCTAGTGAAATTATGAAAAATAATAAGCTTCATTTTCTTTTTCTTTTTTTTTTTTGGGTCCAGTCGTGGGGCCTGAACTCTGGGCCTGGGCGCTGTCCCTCAGCTCTTTAGCTCAAGGCTAGTGCTTTACCACTTGAGCCACAGCGCCACTTCCGGCTTTTTTCTTTTTGCTTATATGATGCTGAGGAATCGAACCCAGGGCCTCAGGCATGCAAGGCAAGCGCTCTACCACTGAGCCACCTTCCCAGTGCATAAGCTTCATTTTCTGAGTCATAAACAGCAATGTAATTTTTGTTGTAAAAAAAAATCACACCTTACACAATTTTGATTTTTCAAGTCTACCATATGAATCTAATTATGAGAAAATATCACAAAAACTCAGAACAAGAATATTCTCCAAGGGGCTGGGAAGGTGGCTCAGTGGTAGAGCGCTTGCCTTGCATGCATGTAGTTACGAAAAGAACATTTCTATTTTAGGGAATTCATAAAACACATTAAAACATATATGAATAAATGTTTTCAACCTTCTTTCAGTTCAAGAAAAATAATTGTTAGGAGAAGAGAGAAACCCTAAAAGGTAGAATTGTGGTAAAATATTAACACTTAGAAAATCCGGTTAAGAAGGAAAATTAGGAATTATTGGTATTATTTTGGCAGTTTTTTATATAAAAAAAGTAGATCTTAAACTAAAAACTGAAAGGATTATCAGATGACATCATAACTCTCCAAATTTTAATATGTGCTGTGTCTAAGTGTTTAAAAAATAACAAAAAGGGCTGGGAAGGTGGCTCAGTGGTAGAGTGCTTGCCTCATATGCATGAGGCCCTGGGTTTGATTCCTCAGCACCACATAAGCAGAAACAGCTGGAAGTGGTGTTGTGGCTCTAGTGGTAGAGTGCTAGCCTTGAGCTGAAGAGCTGAGGGACAGAGCCAAGTCCCAGAGTTCAGGCCTCATGACCACAAAATAAATAAATAAATAAATTTGTTAGTTAGACATAAACTACATAATTCATGAAATCATGTTTCAAAAATCACTCCTGTCTAAATAATCATGATATCTATTATCTATATGAGAATAATACAATGTAAAACTAAGATGTACTTTTACCTCTTGTCATCCTACTGTTTCATTTCAATAGAAAATACATTACTTTTAAGAGTACAAGGAACAATTCAATTATTAAATATCCATTTTGTTGCTTCCAGTTTATATTGATATTACCTAATGGTAGTTTTAGCCATGATGTCATGGTTAAGGAATCTTTCTCTTATGATTAACACTTCTTATAATAGGTATTCAAAGAATGTCTTGAGAATTAATTATAAATTGAAAAATTTGTGAGCTTTTACAAAGTAAGCAATAAAATGTTGTTAGAAACATTGAGTGCCATCAAAAATTATATGATGACTACATGTGAAAAAAGATCACTTTATTACATAGATACAGAAGGAAAGTTCCAGAAATGTAACGATTTTATAGGCAATCCACTTCATTGAAACATTTAATTACTGGCATTAAACAAATGTCATTATGGCACAGGCTTTCACTGAGGACCAAAAACATAATATAAAGATAATATAAAGGTATGTACTAATTTCAATCATTAAATCAAGTCGTGTTCTTAGTTTTTTAAAGCTTTAATAAATCTACAAAAACTCAATTTCATCTCTTTATTAACCATAATCTTCTTTTTGGGGGGGGTTCTGGTCGTGGATCCTGAACTCTGGGCCTAGGCGCTGTCCCTCAGCTCTCCAGCTCAAGCCTAGAGCTCTACCACTTGAGCCACAGCGCCACTTCCGGCTTTTTTTCATTTTGCTTATGTGGTGCTGAGGAATCAAACCCAGGGCCTCATGCATGCAAGGCAAGCGCTCTACCACTGAGCCATCTTCCCAGCCCCATTAACCATAATCTTACATTTATTGAAACCTATTTCCATAAACAGCCCTACCTATCACTCTTCCAAACGGATGCCAAAGCACATAAAACATACAGCTAGAAACAACTAAGATTTTGTCAGAGGTTTTATCCACCACATAAAAAGGAAATATGAAAAAAAAATGTATTCTATTTAGTCATTACTTGATTCCCACTGGGCCTGCTTAGTTTATTGATTTATTTTAAGCTTTGTTTATGGAGATAAGAGACTAGCTTAACTTTCCAAATCTAAAAATGCCTATTGTACCAAACATTTTGAAAGCAATTTCCAATGACTATAAGAATGTTTCATTATTCTTTATTAAGCAAATCACTCCCTTATCACTCATGAAACCTTTATTAGCTCAATTCTTTTGAAAATACTGTAACTATTTATAGAATAAACAAAGAGGTACTCCAAGAAAAACCTTTGAATCAAAATACTACAGCCTGAATGTTACTTGTTTATATATAGAGTCTGGAGCTATCTACATGAAGAGAGAGGCCTTACCTTCATAACCTGGAATTAGAAGGGCCTTGTATCCCAGAAAAATGCCAATATTGAAAAGCAAATCCTTTTTAATTCAATGACTCTTTCTAACTTATTAATGAAAGAGACAAAATAATATGTATGACCTAAATCTAATCATTTTTCCCCAAAGAAGCAATGACTATGGTAGAAGCCCATTAATTAGTAGTCCTTATTTCCTATCACTATTAGCTCAGTATTTTCCCCAGGGGTTTTATAAGGATTCTTAATTTATGGGAAAATAATTCAGTGATAAGTTCATTTCATGAAAGGCCAATTAAAGCAAAATTAAACACAAAGGATGGGATGGCATTTCCCAAACTTATTTGACTTATTTCCCCCTCAGTATCTCATAGGACTAGAGCCCTAATCATTACACCTTAGCTCACAATTCCTATTTGCTGAAGCACATCTATTTTTCTGTCCCTTAGACTCTCCACACCTAACCAAATTAAAAAAGGATTTTTCCCAGCAGAAATTCTCTTTTACATCTTCCTTCATTAAATTCATTTCTTTCCCTCTTCTTTTTCAACATGACGTCTGTTTACTCCCGCATCACTTTCAATCAGAAAACCTTATCCCTAGAAAACTTCATCAGGATCATGTCAATCCAACAAACAACTTTCTCATCTATCAACATGGCCTTTATTTCTTTATCATTAAATTATCTATCCATCTAATTTATTTATCTAAATAAATCACTAGGGAATCATCTTGCTTCCAAAAAGGTTTGGACACACATGTTTTTAGACAGAAAGCTATGTTTGGTCTGCCTGCCAATCATTGCTGTAAAACATCTGAATAAATGACTGGTGTTTGTACATTGAGTGCTGATTCTTGGGAAATACAAATGTCACTTAAATCTCATTAACATTATAAAAGCAAAATTTACTATTGACTATCAATGAAAACAAATAACAGCTACATAGTTGAGGAGTTTGTGTTTTTCCTTCTATATAACTTCTTTTCATCACTGGGATCACAGGTGCACACCACTGTCTGTGGAGACACGTGGATCTTTTTGCTCAGCTGTCCTGGCACTATGATCATCCCACTTTCACCCTTTCACCTTGAGATGACAGGCACATGCCATTGTGCTCAGCTATGGGAAAAAGGGTCATGGAAGCTTTCTGCCTGGGCCAGTGGAGAATGAGTCTTCCCATTCTCTGCCTTTCAAGTAGCTAGGATGACAGGTAAGAGCCACCTGTTCACGGAAGAAGTCTGGAAGAAGTCTTTAAAACATATTTTTATATATGTTTGACCTGAGCATAAGAACTACTCAGAAAAAAAATAATCAAATTTGTTTAGACATCACAATTTATTCCCATAAAGCCAGAGACTATATCCTATTTTTGTTGCTATTGTTGTTTTTGTTTATACGCAAGGTTTCAGGGTCCAAAATCAGTTCTCACAAGGTAGGCACTTAAATTGGCATAATAAAAAAAATAAATAAAATCATCTAAGACCTAGAAATGGCTAGATTTGGCCCCAAACCAAGATTTTTATACCTAACCCTAAAATGTATTATATATTGAAAATAATAAATATTTAAGCTTGGAAATGAAGAAAATAACAGTATCCTATAAAGAGTTTGACAAGATAGATTCGAAGATTACTGGCTAAGAACCTAATGAAGCATATTGCTGAAATTCAATCTAAGATATGGTTTGGGGGTGTTAAAAAGTATACTTTAGGAAAAATTTCACCGTAGATTCATATCCACCTTTTCATATGCAGCTAGTCCTAAGATGAAATATATTTTTGTGTGTCTATATTCATATAGAGAGATATATTCTTCATAATGAATACAGATTACTGACATATATTTAAGTGTTTTTCACCTAGAGGCTGATTGAAAAAAATATTAGCTTCATTGTCTTCTAGTAAAATTTAGCATATTGAACATAAATCTAGAGAAATATTAAAGCTCCTTTCATTTGCTATGCAACAAAACATGATTCTGAATACATATCCAACTCTAGCTAATTCAGATGAACTATGAAAAAATCCAGGTAGCAATGGAAAGTACACATATAATTTTCTAAAACCATTAGCAACATAATTCTTGTTAATAATAGCATTAAGATACTGGAGAAAATGAGAAGCTACAAAAATCAGATAATCTGAAGCTGGTGGATGAGAATAATAGGATAAAGAGCACATATTTCACTTTTTCCAAGAAAAAGAACATTAG